TCTTCTAGATTCTCTTTGGACAACGGACACAGAAGGGTAAGGGAAGAGAGTGTAGTAGATGTAGCACAAGGTAAATATCACTTAAAACTCATTCATGCGCGGGTCACCACTCTTCTTTTCCGTATGCCGTGAAGGAGGCGGTGGGCATCGTCGAAACTCGACGGTGAAAAGGGTGCAGTGAGCAGACATGTTGGGCTAAAAAGCGACTAAATCCGTCGTTAATTCTCTAGGACATAAGCCAAATATTCAAATTATTGGTTACTTAACAATGGCCAGCAGAAGATTAGTGGTCCTCAAAAGGACTGAAACGTAAAAAAACTATGTCTGAACCATGGTCTGATTAGGTGATGACGGCTAATAAGCCCATAATGGCCATCTAAGTCTTCATTGCCTTTGTCGGTCATGTTTTGCCAATAAAATAGCTATGTTCAGAAGAGAAGACTCTATGAAAATTTTGAGTTGGGTAATGGAATACAGGTGGGCTTGGGCAATGTAGGGTAACATCACGCAAGAAGCCCACATTGCAGGCATAGCTCATTCAAAAAGTATTCTGATCGAGAAAAATTTATTATTGAGCAAAAATCCTCTTTTATTTTTACTGTAGCATGTTCCCTAGCCAAACATTGCCCCAAGCCACAGTTGACAGTCTGCACATTTCTCTAGTAGGGACCAGCAATTTGAATGTAAGTATTTCACCAAAACATCCACGGTCAACTTGGAATTCACCTTTTGCGTCCGCTTATCTCAAATAATACAACAGGAGAATAAAATCAACATTTTCAGGAGAGAAGTTCCGAACATTTTGAATTGATTACGGGCAGACGGAAGCTTTATTCACCCCCCACACATGGGAGAATTTTAGCGGGCCGTTAGGGTTCCTTTTAGGAGGGAAAGGACCCTTTTAGGGTTTAGGAATATGCATCGCTCTGGATGAAACACAAGACCGTCTGCCTAACTGTAGGGGGAAGGGGGGGAGGAGTCCATATTGCTGGGTTGAATCGGATTATAACTAACACATCTTGGTAATTTTGCGCCGTTAAACAGCAATAAAGTCCGAAGACAGTCATTGCAGTTACCACGAAAAAGCACCCAACTCACGAGTCATTTACACCTTCAATGTGATACCGTTTTGCGTAGGTAAGAAGAGGTAAAAGTGGTATGTTAGTCATGTGAGAAGTATTTTGATATTTATATGCCCACCTACAGCGCATTTAAAATCACATGATAATAACAACGATCCCACAATAAAGAGAAAATGGAGTTGATTTTCCTTCGCGACAGATATAATCGTCGAAGAAGTGTATGCGCGAGTTAAGCCTTTCAGTTTTTTAGATGAGATTGCTTTGAAAAAAAGGACACTGATGTACATAGAGAAGGAGAAGGCGTTTCGATCACCGGAATCATACTATGCCTAAACTGTCCCCGAAATCACACAGGACAGACAGGATGCATGCTTGGTTCGCGCATACACGAACATAAGCTGGCTGTACAACGGGGTGACGATTAATCACAAGTGGCCGCCCACACATACGAGACCGGTCACAAGATTTACTTCGCAACTGCGAGGATAATCGCGCACAAAGAAGACGGGCCGAGAATTGATTGAATCCTGGGCCTCGGATGAAAACTTAGTTAATCAAATTATCGATCTGGCGCGGGCATCTTCGAACTGATGGCACTGTGGTTGATTGGCCCCTCCCCCCGCCTATAACGGTAGGTTGGCCCTTGCCTTCTATAACTGTTGCTTGTCTTCCGTTGACGCCATTTATCTCTGACGGTGGACTTCAGTAAGAGTCCGAAATTTCAGACAAGTATGATGCTGGTGATCTAAACGCCTCTCTTTCTCTATCTAAACACATAGATGGGATGTGGATATTTAGCTCAATTCACTGACGTACATCTGCAAGAGACTCCAAGGGAGTAGGAGAGAACGTTTTTAAAGGTATCAGAAGCACATGCATAAGAGGCCCAAGTCGTGGACATGCTTTTTATTTCGACGATCCGCTTTTATTGTCAGTTAAGCCATAAACGCAACGTAAACCGTAGAGAATTAATGTGACTTCCACTTACAGTCCAGCTGCACGAAGAATAATAATGTGAATTGGACTGAGCAGTAATTCATCTTGAATGGCCGCCTGGATATCGTCGGATCTGGACAAGTTTCGTAACGCTTTCCACCCGCGGCGCGATCACAGTTCTTGACCTGCGTCTGGCATAGCCAATCCCATGTGTCCACAATTTGCTATCGGCCAATCAACTGATCAAGCTCCCAGTGACTCACTCTCACATAGCCTTTATTCATCCACACCCATATCACGATAGCGAACAGACGCGCGAGCAGGCCCAGAGCTTGTTGCGCGTCGGAAAACTCTGAGCGACACTGTGTTTCTGTACAGAATATGCAGTTTCTACCAGTTTTGCCACTTCTCGTCCCATACGGAACTGGGTGTCCTCTGAGCACACCCGCGGTTCAGATCCATAAGGTTCCAAACTCGGTTTAGGGCTTATTCTGCCTGGTTTTTCAATTTGAGCCGCCATTTTATCCGTCCTTCTATTAGCATGTAAATTTTCTTATATACACGTCGATTGGCCTACTTCGTCCATTATAAACCTATGTTTATCCCTCTTAGTTTATTTTAAGTACGATGAGGTCATAAGGGCAAAAGGTCACGACGCTAGTACTGTTTTGAAAGCAATCCAATTTGGCCTATATTTGACTACTTTTCCTGGGACATTTATCCATGCTGTCAAAAATTGCAGTCGTTTACAATCATGGATTACTTTTGATATCCTGGTGTTGTGAGATCAAGCGCCGAATTTTATACTTTTAGAACGGAGGACGTTTTTCGCTGAAAATATTGGAATGATATTTTCAAAATGAAGCATACCACTCCCTCTCAAAGTTTTCTATCAGACAATGTAATCCGGATGGATAAGGGGGTACGGTAGTCTACCTTAACGTCATTATTCGGCTGGCTTTTTGAGAAGCACTCGGGCAAGGAGTGCAGAGGGCAGTTATGTTTAGTGTGGTGATAAAGTTACTGGTTAGGGGGGAGATCTATCGCCCTTCTTCCCCCCAACACCAGCACGGCCTGCGTTTTGGCGTTACGCCACCCCCAAAAAGGAAAGACTGGTTGGCTGCAGGAGTTACACGAGCTTTGCCGCCAACGAATTCCACAGCACTGTCAGTCAAGCGTCTCACATGAAGGCTGAAGGCCAAGACAAGGTTCTCGTAGAGTCTGTTCAGTATAATAAACAGACGCGCCAAAAAAACTAGCCCACAGGAAATTTCCAAGTAAAAGCGTACCCCGGTCCTTTCTCGCTGCAATGCATCCTGTCTAAGGTAGACTTAAATGTATGCCAACGCTGCCTTGGTGCGTCGAGAAGGATGGGCAAGTGATGTGCTTCATACGGGTAGGCGGGCTGTGTCAGTCACCGGAGCAACGCCCTCCTCTGGTCGTTTTGCCGTTTTTAAAGCCATCGTAGACACGTGAGTGAAAGAAAGGAGGTGCGCATGTCTGTCCACCATAAACATTTTTCACGTGCAGGCTACGGCTGCGTTCTCTCCAGGCGACAGGCAGTGAAAGAAATTGTTTGTAACAGTGTCGAAATATCCGATAGAAAAGTGCCCAACGACGCCTGTTTGATGGGGAGCGAAAGA